ATGCTGAACAGTGCATGTCTGTGTAATACTCAAACCGCTATAAAAACTAAAAGAAAAAATCTGACTTTTGGAGCACGTAAATTGTCTGCCCTGATAGCTTAGGGACGGTAGATGGCGATATAAGTGCATCAAATAATAAACATTTCCTTGATTGGTCTAGCATTAAAATCCCAATGATTGAGGCCAGCACAGGTTAATACATTAGTTAAAGAAACAGAGTCAAATATAAGCAGGTGTTAGATTGTTACCTAATACCTTGAATGTGTTCAGTAGCCTGATATTTACAAAAAGAAAAGACTGTTTAAACCAGAAATTAATTTATCCTAATGCTGAGTCTATCTTCAAAGTAATTCTTGGGGCAAGAGTTGGCAATAAACACATGTATCCCATAAAATGTATCTGATTTATACTTTTCTCTCCATTTTTGGTTTTGTTTTTTAAAGTAGCAGTTGTTTGGAACGGAGTGTGCCTCACATGTATTATTCATAGATGAAGTACTTTATTCTTAATAGGAATATAAGTCCTAAGACACAGGCATTTTATGGGGGAAATGGCCGGCTTACTGTAAGCTGTTGGCTGGGCCATTATTGACTGGCAGGATCAACTGGAAGCACTTTGTTAGTGGATTAGGTTGCCCTGGAAATGCCTGCCTGAAACACTAATGATGCACTTAAGGGAGCCCTCTGGGACAGGAGTAAAACGTCTCTTGCAGGCGTGTCTTCCACGAGTCCTCCCGGGATGAATTAGGAGGGGGTGGGGCACATCCAAAGAGATGCTGGGAAGGAAGAAGCCCCAGGAAAAGCTTGCAGGTAAACCATCTCTTACAGGTAAGCCAAGATAATGACATCCTGATGTCAACTGGGGACTTTCCGAGGTTACCAGCACTTCACATATTCTTTTAAAAGAGCATCATTAATTCCAGAGAGACTTTATTTATTTATTTATTTATTTGCTGGAGGTGGGGGTGGCAGAGGAATGGAGAAAGAGGAAAGAGGAGGGCATTTGAGAGAACAGGGTTTCATCTCCTTGAATTAAGGACAAAACGTCACTTTGTAGATTGCACATTGGGGTCATTCGATGTGCTTTTTTAAAAAAACAAGCCTTAGAGGGGAAATTTGCCTTTCAGCAGAAAGTGAGTGCTCATACAAAGGGTTTGTTTGTAGACTCTGCAAATGAAAAATCACTTGCAATTTATCTCACCATTGGATTGGGGGGGGGTATTTCTGGGG